CTTTCAAGTAGACTATGACTCACAATACTTAGGGAAAGATGTAACTGTAACCACATTACCTGAGGTTACAACTTGAAGATCTAGTCTTATGTACATAGATAGCTTAGCAATTTTTTTTTCCTTTAGCAATTTGGGAATAAAGTAATTTTCATTTATATAATCTTTTAAAAATACTGGTTTACTTAGAAAGTTCACATACATTATTTTTCACACCAGGTCTTTCCCATTTCCTTTACCAACCCTGCCCTCCACCCATCAAATTGTGCGACCCTATGATTTCCACCCCTCAGTTATAATCTTAACTTCACATCGCCTTGAATTAAAAGTTAAGCAAAAGACATGCAATTTGATTGAATTTGCAAAGAAGCAGTGAACACACACACAAACAAAAAGACTGTATTGAATTTGAAAATGATGTTACGTGCCAATGAATAATTTTATGCGTGTGACTCATAGTGACTCTATGTACATTAGCTCTGAAACCTGCAATATACTGCACCAGTCTCCTCATCTCCAACAGACCTAATCCCATTGCTCTAGTCACTGAGTCACTCCATCTCTTTCTGGGTCTTCCTCTCCTGTGATGTCCTTCCACCCTTCCAAGTATGATGTCTCTCCAAGGACTGATCCCTCCTGGCCATGTGTCCAAAGCATGTGAGACGAAGCCTCAAAATTCTCGTCTTCAGGGAGCAAACAGGTTTCACCCTCTCCAGGACAGACCTGTTTGTTCTCCTGGCAGTCCACGGTATGTCCAATACTTTTCTCCAGCACCACAGCTCAAAGGCATCAATCCTTCTTCTCTCACCCCTAGTTACTGTCCGGCTCTCTGATGCACAGCAAGTGACTGTGAAGAGCAACGATGTCAGTCTGGAGACTAAGGCATGCCTGATATAGGTCTTTGCAATGACTTGCTATGCATCAGTGCACTGAACAATGACTAGTGATTATAGAAGGAGATTTGATGCCTTTGCGCTGTGGTGCTGGAGAAGAGTATTGACTATACCATAGACTGATAGGAGAAAAACCAAGTTCATCTTGGAGAGGGTGAAGCCAGGCTGCTCCTTGGAAGCAAGGATTCTGAAGCTTCTTCTCACATACTTTGAACACATTGCAAGGTAGGATCAGTCACTGGAAAGGTATGTCATGCTTGGGAGGGTGGAGGGATAGCACAGGAGAGGAAGATAGATTGATGATGAGGTGGACTGATTCAGTCACTGGGGTAATAGGGATAGGTGTGTTAGACACAATAAGATTGGCAAGAGATAGAGCAGGGTTTAGGGCTGTTGTACACAGGGTCACAATGAGTCGCAGGTGACTTAATGGCACATAACAATGTCAAGTTGGAAGCAACCCATTGCTAACCCTCCAGTGGGTTTTAGTGCATTAAAATGTAATAATATACACAATAAAATCTGAATTCAAATTAATGGTTGATAAAATAAGGATGACAACCTATAGTTACATTTTCCTTAATGTTATTTTAAAGGCCCAAAATCAACACTGCTGTTGCGTTGAATATGACTCATAGTGAGCCTATGAACAACAGATGTGAACAGTGTTCTATCTTGCCATCCTTATGATCTCTTAACACACTTAAGCCCACTGTTGTAGTCACCGTGTCAACTGCTGCTAAATGTTCTACATATCTTAATTCCAAACCAATAACATTATTTATCAATGTAATATTGACAATGCAATATCTATTTATAAAACATTTTTTGGGATCCATAAGTGTGGTATTGGACTCCATATACTCCGTATTTTTCCTTATATAACCCATTTTAACCCAAGTAAGGAGCACTGGTGGTTCAATAGTTAAGCATTCATCTGCTGATCATCAGTTGGAACCTATCGATTAATTCCATGGGAAAAAGAATTGGTGAACCAGGTCCCTGCCCATAAAGATTCCAGCCTAGAAAACCCCAGTGTGCAGTTCTACTCTGACATATGAAATTGTTATCAGTCAAAATCTACCAGATAGCACCCAAAAAGAATAGCACAATGCCTATCAGATTACGATCACTCTAAATCAGAAACTAATCCTGCTCTAACAGGTCTAAGACAAGTGTCCAATTTCTACAGTCCCAGCACTGAATGTGCTTTCCCTGGGAATGCAGGGTCACCCCACTCTCAGATGGGTTCTGACAGACCTTATCAAGCAACATCTTAACCTTAGGACTACACCCTATCAGCATTATCACACTAGGAACCAACTTCCTCTTTTCTATTTATTTTATGTCCTTATTTTTGCTAGTGGGATGAACAGTTCTAATTTATCACTGAAATATAAAGTAGGACCTTCCAAATAAATCCTGTATCTACCAATGTGCCCTGCTCCCTGCCCAACACCCACCTACCTCTCCAAAGTCTCAAATGTTCATTAAAAACCACACGGCAGGTTTTTCAGAGTCGTGTGATATGTCATCCCATGTCATATACAAAATATTCATGAAACTGGAGTTAAACAGCAAAGCCAGGACAAACAGTAAATTAACCAGTGACAGTAAGAAGTGGCACTGTGCTTTTATATAGTTTAGAGAAAATGTATAAAAACCCACTAACACATGACCTTTAACCTTTTTATCTCATTTCTATAGTAATCAATCCAAGAAATCAATCTAAAATGGGGGGAAACACATATGCAAGAGGATGTAAGTCATGTGGTTGTTGCTGGGCACTGTCAAGTCCACTGTGACTCATAGTGGCCGTGCGAACCTGACCCTGCCCTGTCCTGTGCCATCCTCGTCATCTCGGATACGCTTCAGCCCTTTGTTACAGTCATGGTGTCAAACCGTCTTACTGAGGGTCTTCCTCTCTTACACTGACCTTCACCTTTCTGAACCTCATGTCCTTCTCCAAGGACTGGCCCCTCCTAAGAATATGCCTCAAGTGTGTAAGATGAAGTTTCCCTATCCTTGCCTGAAGGAGCACCCTGGCTGCACCCTCTCCGAGGCAGACAGGCCAGGTCTCTTACCACTCCCCAGAATAACTGTTATACTGGTCCTGATAACAGGGAAACGCTAGAGATGGCATAAGAAAAAAAAGAATCACTAAATAAATAATGCTAAGTCCAAGCCGAATTCTGTGTATCACTTGCTTATCTCGACCAATGTAGGATTTTTAATTTGAAAACTGTCATAATATTTTCAATTCACAGAATCCAGCTCCTTATTCTTAATATAATTTAGAGTGTTAAGTTAAAAAATGAACCATGACAGCTGTGACCAATGTAAGCAAGTTATTCCATACCATGAGGTATGGAATGACAGATCTGCTTTGTAATGTGCTTCAAAGTCATATTAAAAGATAAAGAAAAGAGTATGAAACCATGAAATGAAATTCTTTATAACCATATTAATAAAAAAATCTTCAGAGTGCTTAGACAACATAAAATGTCCTTTTAAAGCAAGAGTTTGTCAATCCTGAAATTATGAATTAGAAATATTTTTAAAAAGCAAAGGCCATTGAATAATGAATGCATAATATTTCAATGTTACAGAACCATACTAATTAGCTTTTTCCTATAGTATATTAATTTACAAGTCAAAATCAGAAAAGTCTGGTAGAAATTTAGAAACTGAAGAAATAATGTTTTCCATGTAATCAAAGATAAAATGAATATGATTAGCATATGAAATATAAGATTCATGATATTGTGGAAGGGTGCAGAGACTCACATTACAGTCAAAACACTTGTTACTTTTTATCCTGCCATGGAAAGTTATCACTATCAGTGATTCGTGGTATCATAGACGGTACTGGCATTGCCAGTCTGTGTGTGGACAACCTGGGTATGTGTGCAAGAACTTTATGCAAGAGATTATAGAACCAACACACACATAAGCATTTCCTGAGCTGCCGAACATTGGCCAGACAGCTATTACAATTTTGGAGTTGAAAACATTTTTGGATGTTAACACTTAATTCTTACTTCTTAGAAAGTTGAAATTCTGAGCTCTTTACAGATCTTTTAAAAAGCAAGTAATTTTAAGGAACATTTACGATTTGGGTGATATTATTCAAACTCTTTCTCAAGCTTTCTCTTAACAACCTATTACTTGAATAAATTACATACATTTTTGAAGAGCATATTAAGATTCAGAATAAAATCAGCCCTTAGATAACACTGATCTTATACATTTTTTAAAAGGTAAAGTATTTAATGTCCACATGAATCTGAGTATGATGCCTAAAATCAAAGTCATAGCATTATTGTACCACTGAGAAATAAAGTAGTCTGATGTAGTAAGAAATGGCCATGGTCAGTAATTGTCTTGAAATATGGCAGAACTAAGTAGCCCGCCTGATAACCTGAGGGAAATCTGATAGGAGTGAATTAGAGTATGTGTCAACGTTGACTATAATTGCAATAAAAAAAGGAAACTCAAAGCAAATCATTCATCTTTGCCTCCTCCAGTCTCCTTCACATAAAGAAGAGCAGACATTTTGCTTTCATAAAATAATAATAAAAAGTACAACTTAAAATTGAAGCTGGGAGGAAGTAGCTAAGAGAATACGCCGTCCCCTTTTCCTTATGACTCAGGGTGAAGTCTCTCTCAGGGAGGAGTGATAGGGAATGGCAAAGGATACACTGACAAAGAAGATTAATCAGAACTGGCTTCGACAAGCACTGTGGCATTTGGACAAGAACAAACTGGGAGGAGGGTAGAGAGAATAGTGCAACAATGAATGAGTGGAAGCCCAAAATCTCTGTAAATGTATATGAAAATTAATAAAATATAATTAAAAAAAAAGAAAAAAAATTGAAGCTGGGTTTATAAATAAAAAGGCAGAGAATGATCTTTCGCATGATATTGTAGCAATAAATATTTCATTTAACATATAGCCAGACTCTGATTTTATATAATAAATGCGTGGGGATATATGAAAATAGGTAGTTTTCTTTTTAGCCTCCTTATAAGTATGCTATCTATCAATTTAGGATTTACTTCATTGCCATTGTTTTCATTTAAAAAAAATGAACTATCAACAACACTCACCAGCAGCTTCAAGAACCAGTTGTAGTCTAGCTTTGGCCTGTTCAGCTGGTGGCTAAAAAAGAAAGAACAAAGAAAAAAGGCACTTATAAGTCAGTTTTAGAAGAATCTCAAATTAATGTACTGTTACGCAAGTAATTTAGGAAACCTAGTCATTACCAATATGAATTTATAGATATCATTAGAAAATACCATGACAATAGCTCTACCTCCTCTACAGTAGTAGTCAAATTACACTTTTCATTAACCTAATACCAGAAGGAAGACCTTGGAGAGAAAAGGTTTTGTGTGCTGCTCCACATGGTCCGTGGGAGCGCTGGTGACCTGGAGGGAGGAGCTGCCCTGTGGGCAAAGTGTACAAGGTCCTCCTGTGGGATCTGAAGCTGCCCTGAAATCCGGCAGGAGGTCCGGGTATGGGACAGTTCTGATGCGACTGAAGAACCACCACCAACACTGGACCAGTCTTATCCCCCCCTGGGTGAGACAAATCATTAAGGATGGGGATACTAACACAAAGGTTCGGGGTTTAAATCTACCCAGAGATTCTCTGGAAGCAGTACCTAGAATTTAATTCCCAAGGTCATGACCACCTCAAATCCTCTGAGCACAGGCCTCTGAGCCAGCTGGGGTCCCTGGGAGCTGGAATAAGCTAACAATTGGTTAGGCTTGGGTTTTTTAAACTTTTTTAACAGGGTAAAATGCATACATTTAGCTACATGTCTTTGAATTGTATTATTTCTTTGCATAAAAAACCATGCAAAGTGGCCTTTCACTAACCTGACATCTAATACACCAGACAATCTATATCCTAAAACCAAAATGATTCTCTTTCCTGATTGTGTTTGAAAGGAGCAGCTGTGGTAAGTCGGACTAGCAAAGTCCTGTTTTCAGCTCCTACTACCAGTCCTAAAATTGTCCATAAGCAAATGCTCATGCAATACTGTTGATAATGTGGAACCTATATTATTTTTATTAGCAATTTATTTGGACATATTTTGTATTACATGTTTATGATATGTATAAAACATATAATATCAAAATTATGACCTTTCTATGGAAAATTTGTTAAAAATGGCTTTCCATAATTAAGATGTTATTTCAGTTTCTTCATTCATAAACCTATAAAGATGTAATACAATCTCATTTTTATATGGGAAAAACGTCACTTGATATATAATCATTCACTTTACAGTCACTTTGTTAATGAGACAAATACTACTTCAAGCAAATAACTGATTATAGAAAAATGTTGTGTACAATAGCAAAGAGTTGGAAACAACCTAAGTGAACATCAACGAATTGCTAGAAAAGCTATGGCATATTCACACAATGGAAAACTATGCTGCTTTGGAAAACAAGGCACTTATGAAATATTATTCAGAATGGGTGACCCTGGAGGATATCATGCTGAGTGAAATATCTCAGTCACAAAAGGTCAAATATTGCATAGTGCCACTGTTGCAAAACAGGACTGGCATCAGGGTTGGGGGGAGACTGAGAAAGATGGGATAAACTATATATACTGCATTGAAACAGATGAGGGAGAGAACTGTTTAAAAGAGATATATTACTAGGTATTATTGTGATGACAGGAGTTCAGAATGAAGGCTATATAGTGGATATGGAGGGAGGGATAGTATAACAATGAAAGAATTTTTCCTTTACTTTTCAAAGAGAAGAGTGAACTGTGGGGGATGGTAGGCAGGGATTCTAAACAAGAGGCTTAAATAAAAAAAACAAAAAAAAAAAACCAAACTAAAAATAACCAATACAATATGATGTTGTTGTTGTGCCTGGATGTATAGTGACCCTGTGTACAACATCTCTGAACCCTTCCCTGTCCTAAGCCAGTCTCACTAATTCCAACACCACCCCCCACCCCATTGCCCCAGATACTATTATCAATCCGTCTCATCTGGGGTTTTCCTCTCCTGCACTGTCCCTCCACCCTTCTGAGCATGATGTCCTTCTCAAAGGACCAGTGTCTCCTGTCCACATGCCAAAATCCTAGCCTCCAAAGGGAGACATGGTTTCACCCTCTCCAAGACAGACCTGTTTGTTTTTCTGGCAATCCATGGGATGTTCAAGACTCTTCTTCAGCACCACAACTCGACGGCATCTATTCTTCTGTCATCCTTAGTCATTGTCCAGCTCTCCGAAGCATAATAATTAATTGAGAAGACCACGGCCTGGTTTAGGCACACCTTTGTCTCTAGACTGACATTGTTGCTTTTCAGCACTCTGGAGAGGTCCATAATAGATTTTCCCAATGCAATTCGTCTTTTGATTTTCTGACTGCTGGTGCCAAGAGTGTTGATTGTGGAACCGAGCAAGCTCTAATTGCTAACAACCTCAATCTCTTCTCTGTCCATCATGGTGCTGCCAATTGTCCCAGTGGTGAGAATCTTTGTCTTCTTGATGTTGAACTTCTATCCATATTAAAGAATACAGACCTAGACCTTTTGCAGCAAGTGCTTCAGGTCTTCTTCAGTTTCAGCAAGCAAAGCTGTGTCATCTGCATATCGTAGGTCGTTGATCCTCCAATCCTGATGCCACACTCCTCCTCATAAAGCCCTGTTTCCCAAATGATCTGTTCTGCATACAGACTGAAAATGTATGGGGACAGGATGCATCCCTCATGCACTCTTTTCCTGATTTTGAACCATGTAGTGTTTCCTTGCTTTGTTCTGAGGACTGCTTCCTGGTCCAAGTATAGACTTCACATAAGCACAATCAAGTGTTCTGGGATTCCTCAAGGTTAGCTACAATTTGTTATGATCCACACTATCAAATGCCTTTGCAAGTCAATGAAGCACAGATAGACATTCTTCTGGTACTCTCTGCTTTCTGCCAAGATCCACCTGACATTGGCAATCAGGGGTAAGTAAACCCCAGGTAGCCCTGTGTTTAAAAGTTTCATTGGCACTCAACCTCACTTGCTCATTTACATACTGCCTATGGTTGCTTTCTGACTACACAGGACTGAGTATTTGTACGGTCAGAAAAATATACTTACTACCTGGACTTCAAAGGAAAAGTTCACTAAAATAAAAGATGGAGAATTTTAGAGGAATGTTAAGCAGGCAGGTGATGTGATAGAATTTGCACTCTGTAACTCACTTCCAGTAGCACCTTTGTGGAAGGAAGTAGCATAAAATGCAAGGAGCCCAGTCAGGGGGCAAGTACGGAAGCCTAGTGAGGGCAATCCAGAGCAGAAATGGAGAAATACTGGGAGAAATACTTAACTGGCAAAATGAAAGAACTGACTGAATAGGAAAGAAGGAGGCATGGACACAAAGAGAACGCCGTCATGTTTTCATTGGGAAACATAAAAATATGCTTAATAAAGTATTGAAAATATATGAGATTGCAATTAATATATAACAAATATCAAAAGAAGACTATAGTAAGTTTTCAGTATGATCTAACAATAGCTACACAGGAAAATGCCTATGGGGTCATTTAAGTATAAACATTCATTATGAAACATGCTGTTGTTGCCGTTTCATGCTTTTGAGATGACTACGGCTCCTAGCAACCTTACAAACCATAGCTTTGAAGCCTGCCCTATCCTGAGCCAACCTGACTGCTCCTGACATACCTGTCCCCACCCCAACAGTCACTGTGTCAAACATCCATCTCATCTGGGTCTTCCTCTCCTGTGCTGTCCCTCCACCTTTCCAAACATGATGTCCTTCTCCAAGGTTGGTCCCTCCTGGCAACATGCACAAAGCATGTGAGACAGAACTTCAATGTTCTTGCCTCCAAGAAGCAACCAGCTTTCACTCTCTCTGGGACCAACCAGTTTGTTCTCTTGGCAGCCCATGGTGTGTTCATAACTCTTCTGTAACCAGCATGAGCGAGCCACAGGAAGTGCAAGTGACTGGGGACCAAGTGTCTCAGATAAAGAGAGCAGCTGATATTAGGCTCCAACTGGTAATTCATGTAGGAATGTAAGACCAGATCTATACAATTTGGAGATTTTTTTCCCCCACAAGAAACAAGTCACTGTGAGAACCATGGAGAACAAACATGGAGCTTCTCCAGGTGGAAAGTGCATGATCTCAGCTATATACCTGAAACCCACCTTGAGCAATATAAGTAGAAGGGCAAGAAAAAAAAAATTAGGTTCTCACCAGCAGACCCTGTGCAATCAAAGAATTACGAAGCACTTCAGAGGGCCTTACTAGGCGGTGTCCATAACATAAATAAATCTAAACAAACCCACAATTTTATTTTATAAGATTATTCATGAGAACGTTTCATCCATGAGAAAGTAATTTTAATAAGAAACATTTAAGACATGGAACAATCAATATTCTGAATAATGTGTACTCAACGTCCTATAATACATTTTATAAGCCACAGTACTGCCTGACAAAACTCTCATCTACAGCATCTCCTACCTTCCTTACCCCTTTAGTAAGCGCTATCTTAAAATACTATCCCAAAGAGACTATTTTGATGGGTCATATTTATGTTATAAATATCTATTATTACATACATCTGTTTAATTAATTCCTTTAATGGAGCTTTGGTAGCCTAGTGGCAAGAAGCTGTGTTGCAGTCCTGAAGGGATGCAGTTCAAGTCCACCACCCTTTCTGTAGGAGAAGAATGTGCATGCTCCTTCCCTGTAATTAACTGCCTCTGCGGGTTGGTTCTGACTGTACTGTACACAATAACAACAACAAGGATGTAGAATAGGGTACTCCTATTTTACGGATAAAATCAAGGCATAATTAGTTTAATAACTTGTCTTTGAAGGTTGAACTAAACGTACGAACAGCAACAACAAAAGAAGCCAGTGCCATCAGGCTACATGGTCATCCTGCACCAGGTCCCTGAGGCTGGCAGTCTCACGCAGGGGCTGCCTCGTGCTGCCTCTCACCGGGGTGGGGAGTCTGCCCACCATGTTTTTGCTGACAGCACTACATGGAACACACTCCCTCACCAGAGCTCAGTAACTAGAGAAGAATGGCTTAGAAGGAAAACGATTTGACGCTAAGTCATAGACTTCTTGCACTAAATAACATACACTAATGAAGCCAAAGCTA